CTTTGGCTTGCAGCATGAGGAAGGTATTACAACATGACTAATGGTTTGGCTGTTGCTCATTGATCACGGACAAATAAAGAAGTTCACCAATAGTGCTATGGACATGATTGATACCTCAGATTGTCTGACTTGCTATTACTTCTTTTGTAAAGGATTTTAAGTGGTGATGGTTGAGGAGAGAACCCCCCATTATTGTAAAGCGCTTTGGGTGTACAAAAATACACAATAAAGCGCTATATAAATGCATCATTCATTCATTCAAGTGGCAGATGGTAAAAGGGGCCAAAGAGTATGTCCTATAGACATACATTGATGGAAAGATTTGAGCTATTCTATGGGACAGAAAATCATAAACACTGGTGGTTGACTTTTTTTGACTTGGGCCAGTAAGCAACCATCTGGCAATCACACCATAAAATTACAGTATATTGATCAGCCAGACCCTCCTTGCTGAGAAAAACAAAAAAAAGCTGAAACCAGCCTAAGCTAGTTGGCTGATTTTAGCTGGTCTTCTAACCTGGTCATAGCTTGTCTGCAGACTGGCTTTAGGTTTTTGACCACTGTTTTAGCTGGTCAGGCTGGCGAGAATAGCATACCAGCTGACCATTTTTTTTCAGGAATTTAAACCTCGGTAGTCTTTACAACCTGGAGCTACACAATGCTGTGGCATCTTGGGAAACTCATTGATTTTTACTGTGATTGACGACACATTGACTGTTCCAAGATGGTGGACAAGTCAACGTGTCTGGAGCAGAAGAATGTTGCATCTATGTATGCATGTATTTTTATATATATACTGTATATATATACTGTATCTATGATAAAAACACTCTTTGGCAACCACATACTCCTTCACAATCACCCAGAACATGTGAGTAACTATAGCACAACCGATTATCAAATGCAATAATCATGCTAAACATTAGAAAATATTAGTAAATGCATAAAGCAACATACACAATATCTTAGCATTGTGGCAGCAATTTTTCACAGACAAGCACCACTCTTTTTTTATTAAATTTTAAATAAAGAAAAAAAAAAGTTTTAGATTGCCACCAGGCAGTCATTTAACATTTACTTTAAATTACTTTTATTTTTTAAATAATTTTTTAAAATGTATTTATTATTATATATTTTTATATATATAATTTTTCTGATCTACAAGCATCCTTGCATCACTGGGCCTACTTAACGGAAATTAAACCACTGGAATCCTGTCACCTGCAGGGAGTTTGACATTGTCACCGCTTCCTAAACCGAGTGTGGCAGAGCCCCGCTGAGAGGTGTACTCGGCTGACTTCTTTTACTGACTCATAATAAAAACATGCAGCCCTCTGCCTCAGTGTCTGAGGTTATTTTGGAACAGTCTTATTGACACTGAGCTGCCATTGTTGGAATGAAAAAGTAATAGAGGGATTTGAAAGGAGATCCTCGCATCACAGAGAGAGCGCTTGAACCTGCACGCACAAATGGGCAAACACTACAGGAAAATGAGAACATCTGAGTTCTAGGGATTTTAGTTGAATAGAGTATTTAACAAAAACTCAGATTTAAAGCAAGGATTTTTTTTAAACTAAGAAGCTCTGAAGTTATCAGCATTAAACCTGGTCTAAAAAGTTTCAACTTCTCATTTTGAGAAGATTCAAAATGTACAGACATACGGATCTGCATCAAAGCATAATACCTTCAGACACTGCCCGATAAGGTCACAATTTTTAGGTTTTGGACAGCCAGTTCAGTGTGCTCAGATATAGTATGGGATAAATTACACGTTCACACCATTCAGTCCTGTAGCACATAATGATTTGCTGTGCTACAGCTGAAGACATTAACTCCAAAGACAAAAATATAAATGATAATTTTCAGAACTAAACAATGGACATTTTATTGCTTTTTTTCATCTATGCTGCAGGCAGTGCTCAGTCTTTAGCAGAGTGTACCAACTGCTCTCAAGAGGTTCACCATATTCAGCTGCTGACTTCAATCACAGAAGAGTACAAAAGACCTAGTTGGCTATCACTTGTTTTGTCTTAAATGGATCTTAACCTTTCACTCTGTTTGCACGGATGCACAAATGGTCTGATGAAACAAGACACCAGGTGTCAACGTGAATTGCAAAAATAACTGGTGTGTTTGACTTAGATTGTGTCTTGCCAAGATTTTGACATGGGAAGGACTCGAAAACAAGTTTTGTTGTCGCTCTGTTGGCAGAATCAACAAATGGAATTGGTTCTTTCAAACTAATTTTAATTAGTTGAATTAGTTTCAAGCTAATTTCTCATTTTAAGAAAAGTTTCAAAAATGGATTCAGTGACTCTTTTGCCATCATGTTGTCCTTGATATATACATATTACTGTTTTGCATTTTATTCAGCTTGTTGCATCCATGATTCAACTCAGAAAAACAAAGCCATTTAAAACCTACATAATTACTTTTGGTTTGGCTTACTTTTGGTTTGTCTCTGCATATTCAAGTGGGATACTAAAAGGCGTGTTAACATTGAAAAGATTACACTTAAGCTTTAAGATATACAGATTCTAGATGGGTCACTATATGATTAAGAATTGGTTTCAGGTTTAAAACAAAAACACACTAAAATCAGAATCAGCATAGTATTAGTGAAGCCTTTTGTTGTTGCTCTAATGACCTGCCAGTTGTGGGCTGCATGTTAATGTTCATCTGCTTGGCAGGACAATATCCTCTCATTGGTCTGGGTCATGCATTAAAGAGCAGAAAAGCAATACATGACTATGAAATTATGGCGCTTGAACAAGCATTTGTGGATATATTTGACGGGATAAACAAAATCCTTTTGTCTCACCACAAAACATCATTAGCCGACATTTACCAATGTATTTGACCTAAATGACTTGATGATCCTGTCAGAGACTTTTCATTGGCTTAGACTTTGTATTAACCTCCTCAAGAGAAATGTAAATGATGAGAACAAAGCTTGATCTGAGGGTGACCTAGAATGTAACTTGAATACTGATAGAGTGTCAACTAACTCACAGCAGATTTATGACCTGTCATTTGATATTTAAAGTATCTTGTGAAGGATTAGGTTGGTTGATTGTTTCTCTCTCTCTCTCTCTCTCTGAATAAGCAATATTCCAAAACTTTTGAGGGGAAAAAAGACATCTTGATATACTAGTGTCAAGATAAACGCCTCTTCTGGGAATAAAAGTTTAGTAGAGGTGACATAATGATTTTGTGACATGAGGACTAAACAAAATTCCCTATAATTTCCTCCACCCCCAGGACAAACGTGTTTGATCCAAATAAAGGCTGTTCTTCACAGGTAAAAACAAAGCTACATCTACACAAAACCTCATAAAGACTCTCATACGATCTGTTATGGAAAACCGACATGCATGGGAACCCCATGAAAAAAAATACCCTATATTTTTAATGAAACCAATCAGTTTAATACATACAATTAAAACTTGGCATAACAGAGGTCAGTGTGTCAGGTGAGGTACTTGTTCCCAGGTACAACAGGCACGTATTAAACTTGAATAAAGCCTACAGGTGCATGTAGTGATTTCCTATTAGTTGCTAAGGTAAAAATAAATAAATAAATAAATAAACTCCTCATTTCAGGAAATATATGGATAGATTGACATAAAATTAACCATAGGATTTTTTTTTCTAGTTTCCTACTTTAACTCAAAACTCTCAATTCTCATTACCTCCATACTACTGAAGGAAAGGACTCCAGAAGTTTACAAAAAGAGGTTTAAGTTGAAAAGTCATGTATAAAATGTGTTGATAGGCTTAAGGATACTTATATAGGATACATTAATTTCAGCCATAGTGTGCTAACCTGATTGGTATCTTTGTAAAAGCCATAATGACATATTTCCGTGCTATAGACATTTGCGGTGGCCCACAAGTGTCCGTTACTTTTGTAAATTGGTAACAGTGAGAAAGCAAATTACACCATCTAGTGGGTATACATAGAAGTACTGCAAATAACAGATACTGAATAATGTTTTTTTAAGTCGGAAAAATTTAAAACAGATGGTCAAATGCCATGCAACACTTTGGTGTTGTTGTAATGATATCTGATGCACATTTCTTACAGTGCAGCAAATTACTTTATTTATTGTTAAATTAAAAGAAGAAGAAATGGAACAGCCACTCGGGAAATGACCCACCAAATGTCAGTGTTTTTATTAACATTTACATTTAGTAGACACTTTTATCCAAAGCGACTTGCACATTTCTGTCTTGTTTTTTACACATTAATGTATTATGCAAAATAAATGAATTCATTACACAAATATATGATTACATCACACTGCAACAAAACATCCTAAATTTATTTTAAAGTGCACCTATTATGAAAAGTTCATATTTTGGTTTTGGGATCCCCAACAACAGGTTGACATGCATGCAAGGTCAAAAAACACTTTCATTGTCTAATAATATGCTTTTTTTTTTTTACCTTATTTGCTCAACGACTCCCAAACGATTTGCTCAAGGATTCATTTTTCCAAACCCCTCCTTTGCGTGACGCTAATCTGTGTGATTGGTCCGATTGGCGATTGGTCGATTTCCTCATGCCTAATGCCTGATAAAGCAGTGTATGTGAGGGCAGTGCTGCTTTGTGTACTGCCTTACCGGGGAAACAGCTATTTTACCGCTCCAAAAGCGGCACCTAGTGGCAAAGAATGAATTTGCATTTTCATTCAGACCAATGCGAAAATACAAACAAGTGGGCAGGCAATATGCTAATGTTTCATGTTGACTTCAACATGAAACGGCTTGGGATTCATTTTAAAGATGACTCGTTTTAATGATTCAGAGTCGACTCTTTCGTTTGAGAGACAATAACTTTATACAAGGTGCACTTTCAGATTTAAAACTTTGCAGGATGTTTTCATTCATTTAGAGCTGTGTTACACACTGCATGAAAGGTAATTTTCAAAAATCCATAATAGGGGCACTTTAAAAGCCACACATATTTAAAAACAAACAAACAAACAAACAAAAACTTCATAGCACACAACTGAAATACAATTGAAAACCCTTTTGGTTTGGTCATATCTTTGGACAACCCTTGAGTAACCCTTCTACCTGTGGGACAGCATGTGTGTTTTTAGATGATGGGACTGTGTGAAGGACTTCTGACACTGTGTGCACTGGAACGGCCTCTGACCGGTGTGAGTAACATAGTGTCTCTTCAATTTGGATGGTGCATTGAAGAATTTGAAGCAAATGTCACACTGGTGGGATTTCTTCATTTCCCCTTCAGGATATCTGTTTGTACAATTATGTGCATATAAGTTCCTAATCGTGCGGAAACTCTGACTACAGTCAGGACAAAAGGGGAGGTCATGTGAAGGTTTGATAAAGCATTCACCTGGATCCTCAATGTCCTCAAGCTCCACAACAACTTCTGGGAGTCTGGGATCATCAGGTTTCTGTTGATACTGACAAGAACTGGGCTCATAAGAATCAGGGACACACTGTGTCACAACAGTGTCAGAGTCCACAAAGACACAATCTTCAATATCATCCATGTGATGTGCCCATTTTTCCTCAGTTCTTGATTCGGGAGCACAATGATGGCGAGATGAGTCAGTTTTGGGTGGCCAGTCACTCACCCTGCCAAAAGGCACAATGTCAGATGCCTTTTTCCCATCAAGCAAGATGTCAGTTTTATGTGTCAGACCCCAAGCTGATTTGTTGTTGCACCAGAAAACAACCTTGTTCTCAACATTCTCTAAAGGGCTAGTACCTTTTGACAAATATACACTTGAATCACTGCAGCCACCACTCGCATCCTCTGTAAGCACATTTTGATCTTGTTGCACGGTTGACTTTTGTTTATTTGTTGAAGTGGTATCATTGTCGGCAGTTAGATATTTTGGAGAGGGTTTTAACTTGGACTTAGATGCTTGATTACAGGACACTCTGTTGTCTCTGTAGCTCTGGAGTGATGGTGTTCTCCACTTCACAGGGACATTATGCATTTCCATGTGTACTTTTAGATGAGAGCATTCTCTGAAGGCACGGCAGCATATGGAACACTGAAAGGGCCTCTGATTCGTGTGAATAAGACAATGCCTTTTTAGTTCGGATGGAGCACCAACCCGTTTATGGCACACAGGGCAATCATAAACTCTTTTGTTTACATTAGAATTATTTCTTTGCAACACCTTCACATTTACATCCTTGTCCTCATTTTGTGTTGTGACGCTGGCTTCTTGTTCCTCCTCAGTTTCTTGGTTTTCCTCCATCCACTGACCCTTTGAGTGTTTGGAAGAATATGCAGAACTCTGTCCAGTGTGATGATCCCAACCTCCTTTATTTAGAAGGGAATCTTGCAAATATACATCTGATTCACCGCAGTCACCACTAATAATTTGAGACGCCACATTCTCTGTAACCATATTTTCATCTTGGTGAACTGTTGATTGTTGTTTTTCTGTTGAACTAGCATTGTTTTGGACAGTTAGATATTTTGGAGAGGGTTTTAACCTTGACTTGGGTGTTCGATTACAGGGCACACTGTTGTCCTTATAGCTGTGGAGTGATCGTGTCCTCTTCACAGGGTTGATGTGAGTTCTGATGTGCACTTTTAGATGAGAGCGTTCTCTGAAGGCACGGCAGCATATAGAACACTGAAATGGCCTTTGATTTGTGTGAATAAGACAATGCCTTTTTAGTTCGGATGGAGCACCAAACCGTTTATGACACACAGGGCAATCATAAACTCTTTTGTTTACATTAGAATTCTTTCTTTGCAACACCTTCGTATTTACATCCTTGTCCTCATTTTGTGTTTTGACGCTGGCTTCTTTTTCCTCCTCAGTTTCTTGGTTTTCCTCCATCCACTGGCCTTCTGAAGGTTTGGAAGAATATGCAGAAATCTGTCCAGTGTGACGATCCCAACCTCCTTCATTTAGAAGGGAATCTTGCAAATATACGCCTGAATCATTGCAGTCACCACTTATTTTCTGAGATGCCATATTCTCTGTAACCATATTTTCATCTTGGTGCACCGTTGACTTTTCTTTATCTGTTGATTTGGTATAGTCTTGGGCAGTTGGTTGTTTTGGAGAGGGTTTTAACCTTGACTTTGATGCTTGATTACAAGGCACACTATTGTCTCTATAGCTCTGGAGTGATGGTGTTCTCCGCTTCTCATGGATATTGTGAGATCTGAAGTGTACTTTTAGATAAGAGCGTTCTCTGAAGGCACGACAGCATATGGAACACTGAAATGGCCTTTGATTCATGTGAATAAGACAATGCCTTTTTAGTTTGGATGGAGCACCAAACCGTTTATGGCACACAGGGCAATCATAAACTCTTTTGTTTACATTAGAATTCTTTCTTTGCAACACCTTCGCATTTACATCCTTGTCCTCATTTTGTGTTGTGACGCTGGCTTCTTGTTCCTCCTCAGTTTTTTGGTTTTCCTCCATCCACTGACCCTCTGAGTGTTTGGAAGAATATGCAGAACTCTGTCCAGTGTGACGATCCCAACCTCCTTTATTTAGAAGGGAATCTTGCAAATATACATCTGATTCACTGCAGTCACCACTAATAATTTGAGACGCCACATTCTCTGTAACCATATTTTCATCTTGGTGAACTGTTGACTGTTGTTTTTCTGTTGAACTAGCATTGTTTTGGACAGTTAGATATTTTGGAGAGGGTTTTAACCTTGACTTGGGTGTTCGATTACAGGGCACACTGTTGTCCTTATAGCTGTGGAGTGATCGTGTCCTCTTCACAGGGTTGATGTGAGTTCTGATGTGCACTTTTAGATGAGAGCGTTCTCTGAAGACACGGCAGCATATGGAACACTGAAATGGCCTTTGATTCATGTGAATAAGACAATGCCTTTTTAGTTCGGATGACGCACCAACCCGTTTATGGCACACAGGGCAATCATAAACTCTTTTGTTTACATTAGAATTCTTTCTTTGCAACACCTTCATATTTACATCCTTGTCCTCATTTTGTGTTGTGACGCTGGCTTCTTTTTCCTCCTCAGTTTCTTGGTTTTCCTCCATCCACTGGCCTTCTGAAGGTTTGGAAGAATATGCAGAAATCTGTCCAGTGTGACGATCCCAACCTCCTTCATTTAGAAGGGAATCTTGCAAATATACGCCTGAATCATTGCAGTCACCACTTATTTTTTGAGATGCCATATTCTCTGTAACCATATTTTGGTCTTGGTGCACTGTTGACTTTTCTTTATCTGTTGATTTGGTATAGTCTTGGGCAGTTGGTTGTTTTGGAGAGGGTTTTAAATTTGACTTAGATGCTCGATTACAGGGCACACTATTGTCTCTATAGCTCTGGAGTGATGGTGCTCTCCGCTTCTCATGGATATTGTGAGATCTGAAGTGTACTTTTAGATGAGAGCGTTCTCTGAAGGCACGGCAGCATATGGAACACTGAAAGGGCCTCTGATTCGTGTGAATAAGACAATGCCTTTTTAGTTTGGATGGAGCACCAAACCGTTTATGGCACACAGGGCAATCATAAACTCTTTTGCTTCCATTAAAATTCTTACCTTGCGACACTTTTGCATTTACATCTTTGTCCTTACTTTGTGTTGTGACACTGGCTTCTTGTCCATGCTCAGATCCTTGGTTTTCCTCCATCCACTGACCCTCTGAGTGTTTGGAAGGATATGCGTAACTCTGTCCAGTGTGAAGATCCAAACCTTCTTTATTTAGAAGGGAATCTTGCAAATATACACCTGAATCACTGCAGTCACCACTCGTTTTTTGAGAATCCATAACCATATTTTGATCTTTGTGAACTTTAGCAGAGTTTTCAGCTCCATCTTGTGAGGGTATTTGCACATCTTGTTCTTCAGATTTTGCAGCATTACTAAATGAAACTGTACAATCCTGTTCCAAATGACCAGCAATTATATTCTGACCCTTTTTGTTGTGGATCCTCACATGGCACTGCAGATGCCACCGATATCGAAATGATTTCAAGCACACGTGGCACTTAAATGGTCTGACATCTGTGTGACTCAAAATATGTCTGGCAAGCTTAGAAGGATATGGAAAGTTCTTCAGACAGATGCTGCACTGATTCACACCTTTATGCGTGTGCTTAAGGTAAACTGGGCTGGAGGTTGTGAGCTGCACTTCAGCATTTTTCAAAGTGTCAGAGCTTTTAATCTCTATGGTACTTGAATTTGACTTTATCAATTGGACGTTTTGGTTAAGCTTGCTTCGGCATTCAGGTTTTTCATGCTTTTTGGTCTCTAAAGAGTCTAATATCTGAGGTAAACACACATTACCCCCATCTAGTCTGCAGTTATTTGTACATTCAAAAGCTCCAGGTGTTGGAGATTTGGCCCCTTGCTTCTGCGGGATGCTACACAACCTAGAATTGCCATTTCTTTTTTCTGTGTGTACCTTGAGATGTTTATGGAGATAATAGGCTTGCTTGAATGACTTTCTGCAGATTGTGCAAGTGTAAGCCTTGACGTCAAAATGAACAAACAGGTGTCGAGTTAGTTTCGAGGGGAAACTGAATTTTTTCAAGCATATTTCACACTGATATCCACTTTTCTTTTTGAGTTGAAGCGTACACATGCGATCAGAAGACTTGGATACTGGAAATATCCTTTTTCTGGCAGTTGTGACAGGTGATGAAGGGTTGGTGTGAGATCTGAAGTGTACTTTTAGATGAGAGCATTCTCTGAAGGCACGAAAGCATATGGAACACTGAAATGGCCTCTGATTCGTGTGAATAAGACAATGCCTTTTTAGTTTGGATGGAGCACCAAATCGTTTAAGGCACACATGGCATTCATAAACTCTTTTGTTTCCATTACGATTCTTATTTTGCAACACCTTTGCATTAACATCATTGTCCTCACATTGTGTTGTGACAATGGCTTCTTGTTCCTTCTCAAATTCTTGGTTTTTCGCCATCCACTGACCATCTGAAGATTTTGAGGAATATGCAGAAGTCAGTCCAGTGTGAAGATCCAAACCTCCTTCATCTAGAAGGGAAAGTTGCATCTGAGCTGACATCTGGCTTGAAATTCTCTTCACGCACTGCAAAGACAGAACAATTTCAGTGCATCCATTCTTAAGCACATCTAGCCTAATTCTTCAAATACATTGGTTTTTAAAAGTACAAAGCCATTTGTATTGTTGTCAACCTTTTATTTATCAATTTTGATGTCAAGACTGGGACACCTAGTTCTCAAGAAAAGCCTATCCATCACGTGTAGGTTGTAAAAAGTATCTGTGCAGCCATTTGTGCCGTCCATTTTCAGTAATTTCAGACTTCTGCCACTCAAAGTCATTCATTTAATTGTGATCAGATCAGTGTTTTTTTTTTTTAATGAAAATATAACCTGACCAAGCACTATCATAATATTCACTGGGGGAAACAAAGAAAGAAAGAAAGAAAGAAAGAAAGAAAGAAAGAAAGAAAGAAAGAAAGAAAATAAAGAAAGAAAGAATGGTAAGGAAATATGTAATTTAATAATTAAAATTATCCATGCTTTTAAAAGTGCAGTAACCATGTTTTTGGCGTATTGGTTACTAATTGATTATTTGTATAACCACTGCACCTTTTTTTTTTTTTTTACAAATACTATTAAACTATTTTAGTTTTGTTTACTGTGTGGAGACGTGCTGATATCGCGTTTGGTCTTGTTCTGTATCGCGTATCTTGTCAGTGTCTGCGCTTGCTTGGCCATTTGTTGAAAATAAGGAAAATAAGGAAAGTGTGTCCAGCTGAATTAATTTAGTATTTTGTTAGACGGGTATAAAAAAGCTTAGTTTACCATGGCAGCCGTCGCGTGAAGGCCTCCTCTTGTGAAGACCGAAGAGTGTAAAGTAATTTTTCTTGTCTTCACCACCTGGCTACTGTTGTAAAATGTTGAGAGATTCAAACAAAAAGTAATCAACAAATAGAACAAAATAAAAAATAATAAAGACTGCAAGTGACGTCGCTAGCGGAAGTGCAAGTGTCTGAGAGTGCAAGTCTGAGAATGCAAGTCTGAGAGTGCAAGCACCAAGCTGCAGCCAGACCCTTCTCGCTAAATGACTAAATAAATACATAAACTATGGTTAGTGTAGCAAAACCATGGTTTATTTGTGGTTACCATGGTTTAACTATAGTAACCATGATTTTTGGGGTTTTATTTGTAGTAAAACCATAGTTGATTTTCGATAGATAGATAGACACATAGACACATAGACACACAGACAGACACACACACACACACACACACACACACACACACACACACGACATATATTTGTCAATAGTGAATTAGCAGCAAATACTAATAAGTATAACATTTACTTTAGTGGGTGAAATTAACACGAAAGTTAATTAATAAATTTAAGATTAATGAAATGTAATGAACGTAAGAATGAATTTAGCAATACCTTCACCTTACCCGCGGGAATTTCGTGATGTTAAATCGAAAGACGATTTCCTCAATTTGTCATAATTTCGGACGTTTGTGTTCGAAACTGACAATAACAGGCTTCCGACGTAAATACAAGAATACAAGGAACAATTCATTAACAACAGTTCTATCCTCGCAAATGTTCTTCTGCGAACAGACGCTACTTCTTCTTCTTCTTCTTTCACGTTTTGTGGCGGTTGGCACCAGGTTAATGTGAACTTCCGCCACCTACTGGGATGGGGTGTGAAGTCCAGATAGAGGAGAAACAAAAAACAAAAATCCTTTTAATCAAATCTGTCTCGCTAAATATTTTAACAGAAAGTTATAAAGTGCATTCTTGACCGTTTCTGTTTTGAAATAGATTCCACATCCAAACAGATTCTTTAATGTTATGATGTCCATATTTCAAAAATTGTGAAAAGCTAAATTATTTCTCTATTATATTGCTGACAGTGTAAGAGCACATGTTCAACAGTAAATTTAGCAGTGACTCACTTTTCCCATAATATGCAGGAAATAGTTAGGGCTGAAAGGGCTTTGTGATTTGTAATTAAGGCAGTGTTCCGTCATTAGTAATTATTTTATTTTATTTTAAATGTTTTGTTGACAATCTTAAAATTACAGACAGCTAATTCTCATAAACAGAGCTTCACCACTTGATGGCAGTGTTAATCTGTATGGCAGGATCAAGGCACAGACATAAAAAGCAATGTAGTTAGTTCAGCTTTGTGTAACCATGCATAAGGTGAGTTTAGTTAGGCTAAATAAATGCAGTTGTATCCTTTGATATCCATCTCAGACATTTAATACAATTTGAAAACATCAAAAGCAATTTTTCTTAAATAATTGAAAATACTTCTTGTAGGCACAGTAGCCTACACCGTGTATAATTTCTTTAGTTTGCCGAAAATAATGTAAATCTTTAACCGAAAGGTATGTTATTTGCGATATTTAAGGTAGCCTGTGTTTTTAAAGTTCAGAGTATTATAATGGAATACTGCTTTAAAAAATGTCCTGTTTTTAAACCACCCTCAAAATAAGGGGGTGCATATTTCAAAGAAGTCACACGCAAGAAGAGCACAGTTTGTGCAACCACCCCATCACCGCGCGCTTGTCCATGCAATTAGCCCTTATCTGTAAGCAGTTTAATTTTCTGCGACATGGCGCGAGCGGCTCGGGCCTGATGGATGTGACATTAACGGGAGATGAAGCTGGGGAGATTGGACGCTGCAGTCACATAGTGGCATTTGTCACTGCCCCGGTCATGCAGATTGCGCCAGCACCGGCCACTGACTAAGATTAATGACGACGGCTCTCAGTCTTTGTTTCTCTCTGTGCTTGTGTCGAGCTCGAGCCTAAATACCATTCACACACACACACACACACACACACACGGGCTTTATGATAAGACCTCATACATACATACAGACTGTACCAGATTCATCATTATTTCCTGGTAATTCCATTAAAATGCAGTGGATCCCATTTATTAATGTAAATTCAAGTCATGTCATTAGTGGTGCTAGGTAAGGAAACCCAACACTATTACATGCTTGGGGATTTTTCAAAATAGGTGTGCTATTAGCCTACTAGCCTAGTAGGCCTATACTTTTAGACTTTTCACAGACTGCAATGTACTGCAAATGAACGAGTAAATATCGTTCATTTTGTTTATTATACATGTTATGTATATTTCTAACACTGTTTTTGGTACAGTATTTTATTCTGACATTAAATAATAAAAAAAAATATTCTCTGCTGCTATCTGTCTATTTGTCCTCTTGGAAAGTGGTGAAAACGCACTAGGGGATGTTCTATTTTGCTGTTGGATTAGGCCTAAATGGGGAAATAAAAATTATATTTACTATGGTTTCCATGCCATAGAAATTTACTTCCACACTCCAGACCAAAATGTGAAAATGGTCCATAATAAAATGAGTAAAATTATCCTGTATTTTTACACACTAAACAGAGGAGATATATCTAAGGACTGGAATCATAGAGACTCAGATATGGGTTAGTAACCAACCTAGAAACCACCAAGAACATCCTAGCAACCACCCAGCCCACCCTGGTAACCACACAGCAACATAGTGGCAACCATTCCCAAACCCACAGCATTGTGGTGGTGAGTTTTGCACGGTCATGCACCGCTTTCATTTTCTAAAGTGTGAAAAATCTAGTTTTCGTGCAGTTGTTGTTGTTGTTATTATTTAGATTTATTTGCATTTATTTTGCTCTCTCTTTTTTTACCCTATAGCTTGCACACACATACACACACAGCATAGTAGAACCTGCAGACCTATATAATTTTTGAAGTGGCAAAAGCAAGCTGATAAATAGGGACCAAGGGATGTCTACCGATTAAACAAAAATGCAATTCTTGGAATCTCTTAAAAAAACACTGCGTAGAATCATGAAAGGAATTCCTAAGAAGTGTACGAGACCACCACGTATCCCCTCGGTTGTAAGAAGGGAGAGAGCGGTAACCCCAAACTGGCTGCACGGCTGCACAGAAAATGGTTTTCCTTGACAAATGAGGTGATGCGGACCAGGCTCAGATGGATGGGGGTTTGGGCTGGTTGTATCAGGGCTCTTGGGATGCTGGGTATTTACTCAGTCATTCATCATCCTCTGGCACATCCACTTATACAGGATCTGCACCACACACCCATACTGATGTAATTCTCCACATGGAGAGCTGAATTACCATAGCCTGTCCTCAGTGTGTGTGTACGGATATGTTATTGTGAAGTGTGGAACAATTTTCTGGATGTGCATCTGTGCACTTTTATGTATCTGTGAACCTCAAACTGTAGCAACACACTCTAATGGCAAATCTAACTGCTTTATGTTTTGGTAAATTGGTGGCTAATACGTATTATCTCATTCATACGTTTTCCTGTGATCATAATGTCAGGTTATTCCATGAGTGTATTTATTCTAACATGTACCCTTGATGGTGTGAATTGGACAGGACAGTTGTACCACCCTGACAACTTTGACCTAATGCCCTAACACTTTTACAATTCATTTTAATTAAGAAATGATAAACATTTCATCATGAAAGAGATTAAAGCTGCAGTCTGTAACTTTTATTTGGTTAAAAATGATCCGAAATCAATATTTGAGCAAGTACATAACCAGCCAGTGTTCAAAACTATTGCCTTACTTTAGCCCGATTCACAACGGTTAGCTTATAATAATGTTTTGTAATTTGAGTGGTACGGGTAGGTTTTCGCGGGAAATTCGAGCATGCTGCCGTGCCATTACATCATGTCTGTAAACAGAAAGAAGTAGAAACACATGTGAATGAAATTAAATTATATTCCAGTTTTAAATGTGCTTTTGATTACAGATAGCCTGGGATTACACAAGATTTGTATTTTAAAGACAACCAGTTCAAAGGGAGCGTAATTAGCTTTTTGGGTTAAAAGAATTTCTTAATATGAAATTCGAATGGTATGACAATTAGAGATTAGACTGTACAGAAATTGAAATCTACACACTAATACACACTATACTCATAGTCACGCAATGTTGATGTTGTTAACATTAATAATTTGAGAATAAAGTATAACAATAATTATAATTTGCACAGTATTTGGGTCATATTCCAAGACATAGGCTAGAATCTGTGATTGCGAAGTACAGTAAATATCCACACCTGTGCGGTGACTGACTGCCACACATACTCCTCAAAACATTAGATTCATCCACGCTGGAGCCGTGCCGGCGCACAACACACGCAAGGAAGATAATTCCGCAAACAGCTGGTTGGTTGCACCACAAAATTACTAATTTTAATAGTATTTTAAACAAAACTGTTTTGCTGTTAATCCTTTTCACATTTATATGCTTTCGTACAACCCACTTACACCCCACTGACAGATTTTGGTTTGGACCTTCATTCTAACTTTTTTTTTTCTAAAATTAAATCCAGCGGTTTTGTAGGAATCACATCGTACAAATTCATTAAAAAAATTGCCACCTTGTAAAATTATTACGTTTTCTCATTAGATCGGGTTATTCCATGTATTTGTTCTAATATGTGTCCATGATGGTGTAAATTGGACAGGGCAGTTGGATCAACCTGACAATTTTTACTTTATGTCCTAAAAACCAATTACAGTTAATTTATAATTTATAAATTAAAAAATTTTCATCATACAATAGTTTGTCATTTTTTTCATAATAGTTGTACCACATGACTTTGTTGGTCGCACCTCATGACAGTTATACTACTTACTACACTCTAAAAAATGCTGGGTTAAATTATAACCCAGCGCTGGGTTAAAAAGGGACAAACCCAGCTATTGGGTTGTCTTGACCCAGCGGTTGGGTTGTTTTGAACCCAACCGCTGGGTCAAAACAACCCAATAGCTGGGTTTGTCCCTTTTTAACCCAGCGCTGGGTTATATTTAACCCAGCATTTTTTAGAGTGTAGGGTTTTTCTCATTTATATGTTTTTGTAAAACCCACTAACGCTCCACTGATGCTTAGGTTTAGGTGTGGATCTTCATGCTTGCTTTGTTTTTGTTCTAAAAATCATATCATTCCATATTAATCACATTGTATGAATTAATACAAAATCACCACCTTGTAAAATAGTTACATTTTCTCATACTGTCGGGATATTCCATGTATTAATTCTATAGTGTAAATCGATTCAGCTGTCATAATTTTATTTTCAAGTAGGCAAGAAACCTTCGAAAACTGCAAGCTCTTAATGAGCACATCCCATGGTGCTTATTTTAATTTGAACAGCTTTGATCCTGGTCTCCAGTCATCTATGAACTAGCATTGTCATTCATTCATTCCTCGAAGCTGTTCTGAAATGACAGAAGCTCACATCGTCCAAATGTTGAGCATTGATCTGCCCTTGCTGTCCGTCTGTAACTCCCTTCCCTATTTGCTTATACACCTCTTGCAATGCCAAACATCTCTGCATGGACACCATATCCCATCATCCTCCTGATGCTAGCTCTTTCTCAGCATGGGCTCCGACCAGGGCACTCATGTGTGAGCGACATTTGCTCCAGCAGAACATTGGAGTTTCAATCAAACCACATGGGTCCTGGGTGTAGTTTGTTCTTCAATACAGTATGGAGTGAAAAGACAATATTTACCCCCACATGGAAATCCCATGTGGATA